GCTACATTACACTTTTTTAAATGAGGAATTAAAAATGTTATTGTGGCAGAGAACAAGGACAGGTTTTCTTTTTCTATTCTTTAACTTGTCAAGTGACATGAATTTCAACTCTTTAAATCTACTTTAATTCTAGAATATTTATGGAGTGTCTGTTTTGTATTGAGTTCTGTCCATATAAATATAGCTCACTTTGTCAAGAAGCTTCCAATCTAATCAGAGGGACAAGATTTTAAGCCCACATGTAACAGACAAATCATGATACCAGACAGCTTTTGGTTCTGTACCAAAATCTCAGAGATGGTTAAGTGTTTGGGGGAATCAGTGAGACTGCTCTAGGGAAATACATGGAGAGAGTGGTATTTGAGAAGATTTAAATCAGTTTTCCATTTGCAATGGGGAGAAAGTTATCCATTCATTCAACACCTACTTACAGAGTGCCCATTGTCTGCCAAAAGATGTTGATATAAAAATGAAAACATATATTCCCTAACCTAAAAAAAAAAAAAAGAAACAATTAAAGAATCTAATGATAAAGAGAAATGTACACAAAACTAACTATATTGTTGTTGTTGTTAAGTGCTGTCAAGTCGATTCCAATCCATAGCGACCCTGTACAGGGTTTCCAAGGCTGTAAATAGTTACAGAAGCAGAAAGCCTCATCTTTCTCCTTCAGAACAGCTGGTAGTTTCAAACTTTTGACCTTAAGGTTCACAGCCCGATTCCTAACCACTATGCTACCAGAGCTCCTTAAAAGTAGCTATAGTGGAGAATAAAATGTGAATTTTTTTCATAGAGTAGAACAAAATGAGTATGAAAAACAGAAACAAGTCTATATTTATATGTCGTAGATAGAGATCAGGAAAGACAGTTAATAAGAGAATGTTTTTTTGACTGCTAAGAATTTTTTGACTGCTTTTTCCAGTGGGAATATATTATTTTATTCTGTTGGCGATTTTCATAAGGTAATGTAGAAAATACCTTGGAGCTGAACAAAAAGACAATATTCTAACCAGAGGGAATTGGAAAGTCCTCATAGAGATGGCTTCTGAGTTTTGTTCTGAAGGATGGCTGGCACTTATTGAATAAATCCTGTGTTCAAGACTCTATGCTAAATGACCTATAAACATCTTATATAAGTCTCAAAGCAATCTCATTAAGTTATCTTTATCCTTATTTGTAGTGATCAAGAAACTGAGTTCACACAATAAGTGACAAAACTACGCCCAGGTTAAATCCAGGTTTTCTAGGGCCACCATCTGTGCATGTAATCTTGGTTACACGGTTTCAAATGAAAATGGAGGGCAAGATTCCTCAGCTGTACAATATAGAATTAAGTAAACAGTAGAATGTTTAATAGCAAGAATGTTTTCTTATGTAGAGTAGTTGTTACTGTTATTGTTGTTGGGTGTACTGAAGTTGGCCCCAACGTGCAACAACTTTATGCATAACAGATCAGGGCTATGCACATCAGATTGTATCATGGATTGATTTATGTCAAATTGGCTAGGCCAGGATTCTCAGTGGGTTAATAGCTAAGGTGTAATCATGTTCATCATGAGATCTAATATAATACAATCAATCCATGATACAATCTGATGTCCTTAGCCCTGATCTGATATAATTATCCAGTGTGTTGCAAATCCTCACTTCTATAATATTAGTGAGGTCAAAATGCAATCTACTGGATTCAAT